ATTTTAAGTTAGTTACCTTTCTATAAACAAGTGAGCAAACAGCAACTCGTACCCTGCCGCCAATATGGAAAGCACCATATAAAGATTGATTTAAGGTAATAACATTTATAGCAGATGCAAGACTAATTCCTCCAGCAAACATAAGTGCCGTTTGGTAAGAAACATCTGAATTGGGTTTGAAATATTGTAGCAAACCACCTAACAACAGAGGTGTTCCTAATCTGTAATTTAACGAAAAAATAATACAATAATATTTATATAATCAATTATGGAACTTCCTCCTTTTACAGTATATATATATGAGGCAAAATTCCTGAAATGTCCGAACAAAAAATTAAAAGTTCTCGAATTTAATCCATACTTTTCTAAAATGTTGTTATTGTTTGTGAAAGTCTAAAAATCAATTATTATTGAATTTAATAAAATAGTTTTTGAATTACAAGGTTTTTAATTTTTGACTTTTGAAAAAAAAAATTTTTGTCAATGTACAATATTTATAAGTAGAATGCATAAAAGTTAACATATATATAATGATTTTTGAAGCTTTTTTGACGAGCTACACGCTGTTAATAAAAAATTTTTTTTTTAAATAACATTTGACCTTGAAATTCAAGGTCAAAATGTTAATTTACGTTTATCTCAAAATCGGATTTTTTAAAATTATTTTTAACTATCTCAATGGAAAGCTTGACTAATTTCCTACAAAACATGTAATTTTCAGAGTGGGATCTTTTAATGTTTTTGAGATATTAATTAATTAATTAATTAATGTTTATAACAAATGAAATATTTTACAAACGAATAAAGTTGCCGTACTTCTGAAGTTAGTAATTGAAAGTTAACGTAATTCCGCATCCAACGAGCCCTATATGAAGTATTTTGGATAAGTAGATTGTTAATAAACAATTAGTTAACATTGCAATTGTTTATTAACAATCTACTTATCCAAAATACTTCATATAGGGCTCGTTGGAAGCAGAATTAGCTTAACTTTCAATTGGTAAGTTCAGCATTACCATTACTTTATTTGTTTGTAAAATATTTTATTTTTTACTAACAACAAGCATCCAAAAGCCCTATATGAAGTATTTTTGTTCAATTTTAGTTAAATAACAATAAAAAATGAAATATCCTACAAACAAATAAAGTTATCGTAAATCTAAACTAACCAATTGAAAGTTAAGCTAATTCCGCATCCAACGAGCCCTATATGAAGTATTTTGGATAAGTAGATTGTTAATAAACAATTGCAATGTTAACTAATTGTTTATTAACAATCTACTTATCCAAAATACTTCATATAGGGCTCGTTGGATGCGGAATTACGTTAACTTTCAATTACTAACTTCAGAAGTACGGCAACTTTATTCGTTTGTAAAATATTTCATTTGTTATAAACATTAATTAATTAATTAATTAATATCTCAAAAACATTAAAAGATCCCACTCTGAAAATTACATGTTTTGTAGGAAATTAGTCAAGCTTTCCATTGAGATAGTTAAAAATAATTTTAAAAAATCCGATTTTGAGATAAACGTAAATTAACATTTTGACCTTGAATTTCAAGGTCAAATGTTATTTAAAAAAAAAAATTTTTATTAACAGCGTGTAGCTCGTCAAAAAAGCTTCAAAAATCATTATATATATGTTAACTTTTATGCATTCTACTTATAAATATTGTACATTGACAAAAATTTTTTTTTTCAAAAGTCAAAAATTAAAAACCTTGTAATTCAAAAACTATTTTATTAAATTCAATAATAATTGATTTTTAGACTTTCACAAACAATAACAACATTTTAGAAAAGTATGGATTAAATTCGAGAACTTTTAATTTTTTGTTCGGACATTTCAGGAATTTTGCCTCATATATTGTTAACGTTGAATGTTAGCCATTTTTACTGTTTCTTTATATGAATGTATATAGTTGGGTTGAGTCTTTAATGTATAATTAATCGGAATGTTAAAACCAACCAACTGTTGGTAATAATGATTTCTGCAATAGCATTTTACTATCGGTTAGTAATGACGATTTCTGAAATGGAATTTTATCATTGATCGGTAATGCATATTTCTGTTTTGATATTTTACCATCAGTCAGTAATTAATAATTGTAATATGATCTTTTATCATCAGTCGGTAATACAGAATTCGTGAATGGCACATAACAGCACTTTTTCATCATATCTTAGACTTTATTTTAGATTAATACACTTGTAATTTCACAAAAAAAGTCTAAGACAGATTAATATTGTGAAAATGACATAATCAAACAGTTATAAAAAAAAATGTTCAAAAATCAAACCCGTTTGCAAAAACGAAGTATAAATATAAAAAAATTTTGCACTTTAAAGTTATTCTCTTTTATACTTGATTATGATGTATATAATATTCACAAACCTTATGACAAATTCATTAAATATTTGAAGTATACCAAGAAGAGAATATTCCCACAAAAAAGTTCGAAAAATTGTTTTCAATAAACTAACTTTCTTCTTATGTTTTTTTGCATTTTCTACTTCTATTTTCCATTGACTGAAAAAATAATAATTGAAAACAATACTTTGGAATTTATAAAATAAATAATAACAAATATTAACTTTTCTAGTCTGTCTCCAAGAAGAGATGATTTGTCTGTTCTTAATGGATCGAATAAATCTTCGGGTCCTAATACTTTTGTATATCCTTTCTTGAAAAGATGTACTGTCCACCTAAAATATAATTGATGAATTATTAAATAAATATTAATTTTTAAGTATTCTTAAAACAAAACATTTAATTTTAAATTTAAATTATATTGTTAAACATTTTTGACTTTTGTAATAGTTTTTATTTTAATTATCTGAAACAAATTAATTAATTGCAGTTGCTTTTACTCATTTTATCTTAAATATAGATTACAACATAATTTTCTTTATTTTTGTTTAAGCTTACACCAAATACAGAAATAAATTAGTTTAATGATATCAATGTAACTTAGCACATTCGATGAATATTAAAATGTCTTTTTATTTAAAAATGAAATTTTTTTTATCCCGTAAGCAAAAACGTTAAATATATTGTTAATTAAATTTTATTCATACATACCACCATAATAAAACTGATATACAGGACGCTTTTTCTCTAGGATTTGGATTCTCAGTCGGTTTTCTTGCATCCATTTTATTTGAAATTGTTCATTAGTTCAATGCACTTATTAAATTAATATTGACGATTATTTTAAAATTAGAAATAAAAAATCTGAGGGGAATTTAATATGGCAATATTACATTACAATATTCAGGCAATTCTGATATTGTAGAAATTCTATTCAACTGAACTGTGATAAAGCATATTTTCTAATATATCGAATTTTCAAATAATAGCAGTCTTCTTTAATTAAACTAGAAATGTATTAATAATAAATTATAATAACAATTTTTTAGAATTATAACAATAAACTAGAAATGTATTAGGAACATTTAATTTTATACATTAACTCTGGAATTTCGCTGATTCGTTAGTGTATTTTCTCACTTATTTAAATAAGTGGTATATTTATCACTGATTTAGATTATGAGAGAAAAGCAAGTTAAATTTACAAACATAAAAGAGTAATACACTGATATATTAAAATTACCAATTAGATGTATATTACCTAAACTTACTTTACATGTATGTTGAAATTAATATACTATTAAAAGTATTTTAAATTTATTAATATTCAGGATTAAAACACATATGTACATTAATATTACAATTTAAAGGTATATTAACTTACTTTAAATTAAAATTTCTTAAAATTAATATACCTTAGTATATTAAAAGTGATTTAGATTTGAGAACATTTTTAACAATGTATGCAAACTATATTGACGTAGGTAATTTGAACTACATATGGCACGTGTGACTTTGTATGAAATATAAAAAATTATCATTTGTATAAAAAAAAGTGTTATCTACTTGTTTTTGCAAAAAAATAATCACAATGGCATTAGAATTTTGATAAAGCACTTTATTAACTTTACGAGGACTTGAATTTTACTACTTTTATTTTAACACATTATTTTATTCTTAATTTAGGCATTATAAATAAATGTTAGAATAAAGATTATATAGTGATGAAAGTAAAGTGTAAGCTACTTTAAATTTATTACAGTAGGTACTGAAAATGAAAATGAAAATAAATAATTGACAGATAAATTTGTTCCTAAAAGATTGTTAATTTTTTATATAAAAATTAGAAAAAAAATTTTCGGTAAAATTTATATTAAAGTATAAGAAAAATTTGGGCACTAACAGAAAAAATACGTATATTTTTTCCGAAAATAATGAAAAAAAATCACTTTTGGGAAGGCATTACTAATATGAAAAAATCTTATGAATTCTCTATCAGTAGTAGAAGTAGGATTGAATCAGACAGACTTTAAAAAAATTTACTACTTTTGATGGCGGCTATCGTAAGTCAAAGGCTAGAAAAATTAAGATTTAAAAACTAATTAATATAAATAATAATAACAAAAATGAATAAAAAAAATTGTTATAAAAGTGAAAATTGAATTGCTCTTTGGAAGAAATCTTGCACAAAAAATGACAACTATTTTCAAGTCGTCTAATTATGTATTTCTGTATTATTTTCTTAAATTATTAATTTTAAAACATTTTATCATTAAATATTAATTATAAACTTACTAAATCGAAAGATTTTTCAATTCCACATCCAACATGCCTAATATGAGGTTTTTTTTCTTTAATGAATTTGTAATAAACAATTAATTATTATTTCAATTGATTATTAAAAATCCACCAATCGAAAACACTTTATATTGAACTTGTTGAATGTGGAATTGAAGAAGATGATATTTAATAAAAGCAAATTTACAAAAAAAAAAAATCATAAAATGGCTACGTCAAAAAAAAAATTCATTCATCAAAATCATATAAACAATTATTTTCATCTATACCAGAGGCTTGTAATTCAATAAATTAAAACATTTTAAAATGTTATAGAAGAATAATCTTTCATGAAAAAAATTTTTTTATTATTACTAACTAATTAACAAATACAATTAAGGGTATGTGGGAACCTCCCACGTGACCTAGTATGGGAAAATGTGTTTTGATAGTATACATTTCACTCTAAAATGGGAAAAGATTTTTGTCTCCAATTTTGAGGGATGATAGATTAGGGTACAAGAAATCTCGCGGTTCTCCGAAAAATACATAATTTTCGGTTGAATTATTAAAAAATGAAGTTTAAAAAGTGAGATTTTTAAACGAAAATGAAAAGAAACATGGCGGCGCATACACAGACGTTTCTTGAGTGTGTCAGTGCTCCAGTAAACAGCGCCAATTCGAGCAAGTGGCTGCTGAATGAACTACGATATAATACATTATTTTACTATTTATTGCTTTATTTTTATTATTTTTGCGTCACATTATAGTAAATGAGTAGAACAGCGAGATTCCTTGTACCAAACAAAATCATTTTTCCAAAATTTTAACCAGAAATCATTTTTTATTTCAGAGAAAGTTTCAAACCACAAAAAAAGGCCCTTTGCCCACATACCCTTAAACGGCAGAAGTACTAAATAAAATCTGACGGTTTGTCCTCGCGTTTTGCTAAGTATGCTTGTTCAGCAACTTTTGACAATTGCTCAAACATAGCTTGTCCTGTTTCTCTAACTAAGGAAGTAAATTCACCATTTTGGTTTTGAAGAAGAATGTGCGGATGATCGAATTCCTGAAACATTTTTTTTTATTTTAAACCGAATTCATTTCAAATCAGGCAAACTAAAAATAGTCGGAGCTGAAAATAAATTTTTTCCCCGGAATATTGTTTTTTGGCCAAACAAAACAATAAGTTTTGTCTAAAAAGCTTTGAAAAACAACATTTAGGAGAAAAAACTGATTATAAAGTCCGACCATATGCTTAACCTAGGTGATTTGAAATTAATTCAGTCTTTACATAAATAAATAAGCTAATAAAACCTTTTCATTAATCTATGTAATTAATAGGACAGTGTAACATTTTTTGAGATTTGAAAATTTTTAATTAATCTTACCACCATTTTTCCTTTGTCCATGACTAAAACTTTGTCACTGTCCATAATTGTATTCAATCGATGAGCAACAGTGAGTACAGTGCAAGCAGCGAATTTAGTTCTTATGGTTCTTTGAATCAGAGCATCGGTTTGTGGATCCACATTTGCTGTGGCTTCGTCCAACATTAGAATCCGATTGTTCCTCAAAATGGCTCTCGCGAGGCAAATCAACTGGCGTTGTCCAACACTGAAATTACTTCCTCTGTCGGACACTCGACTGTCCAATCCATTGACGGCTGCAATCGCTTCTTTCAGTTCCACCTGTTTGGCATTTACGAAAATTATTTACATTTTCCACCAGAAAATTAATTTACAGTTTTAAATTTCAAAGTCCAATCCTCTATTTAGAACTGTCGATTTAAAAATAAGGAAATCACCTCTTCGAGAACCTCCCACAGTAGTCTGTCGGGAAATTCGTTAAAGGGATCCAGATTTCTTCTGATTGTTCCAGAGAATAGAACAGGATCCTGTGGAATGATGGAAATTTGACGTCGAAGATCTTCCAGACAAACGGTTCCCGTGTCTATATTGTCGATTTCAATGACTCCATCGATTTTGGCGAGACGAAAGAGAGCCGCGATTAAAGACGATTTTCCAGCACCGGTTCTCCCAACCACTCCCACCTTAAGGACAGTTTTTTCGATTACAAATTTTGTTAGTATTGAATATTTTCAATTGGTTTGAAAGATAGTTAGGTATTGGTTAATGAAAACAAAAGTAATAGCATATAGACACTTTTAAATCAAAGGTATAAAATTGATCCCATAATGCGGATTAAAACTTTGCATCTCAACAATTTGATACTCATTTTGGCATCATTTCGATACCTTCAAATCAACTGTGAAAATATGGATTCTATAATAAATAGTAATTCACCTTTTCAGTTGAGTGAATGGCGATATTGAAGTCTTTCAAAACAGGAGGATCGTCATCAGAATATCTCAAGAACATATTCCGGAATCTAATAGAACCCTGAGTTGGCCAATTTTTCGGAGGTGTTACAAAAGACTCAATCTTTCTTTGCTTCTTCTTGAATATTACTCCCTTGTCCTGTAAATTAGGTTCTGGAGGAAGTTCGGCATACTCTAAAACTCTTTCGACTGCCATAAATTGATTTGCTACTTCTGCACTCTGACGCATTCCCCATTGAATCATTCCTGTTAGCGACATGACTTGTGTAATAGCCAGACCCACTTTTCCTCCATTTTCTGTCGATGCTGAAAATAGATTATCTTCAAAATTTTCTGTTTCATAGTGTTTTTAAATATTATTCGAATTTTTCCCTCATGTATACAATGTATAAAAATACTTCTAATTTTGTATTCGAAATTATGCCATTTAGAAAAATATAAAATTTTTGTTTTCACATCCTTCTAACGAATTATTATTAAGAAAAAGTTTAGGGAATTTTTTTAAAATTTAAAGAAAAGTTTTTATATATTTTTTTATACTTACAATCACTGCTAAGAAGAAAAGTGAATGTCACCAGAGACGTAAATATAAAAGCACAAATATCCAAGCAAAATCCAAATGCAGAACTTGTCACGATAAATATATACCACGAAGAAGTATGCAAATCTTGGAATTTGTCGAATTCATATTTCAAAATTTCTTGCGCTTCAAAAGCTCTGATCGTCGTTAGTCCATTGAGGGTTGCGTTCAGATGGGTAAATACCGGTGAACGTGCTATAGTTAACAAATTAATTATTAAAATGTTTTAAACACTCATGAAATTGAATTTAAAGAATATAAAAAATTTACTCATTCCCTCCAGACGCTTGACATTTTTACTTGTCTTCAGATATACTTTTCGAATCCAGTAGAATACCACACCAAGTAAGACAATTGGAATGATATAGTAATAGTTTACAATACAAGTGACAATCAGAGTTCCCATCATCATCATGTTTATTTGTCCAGCATCTAAGAGAGTTTTTGGGAGTAATTCATCGATTCCTCCAATGTCTTTTGAAAATCTATTAAGAATTCGACCACTTGAATTTGTATCAAAAAATCTTATTCTTGCTCTAATCAACGCACTAAATGCCATGTCGTGCAAACGTTGACTCGCTCTCATACACAAAGCGCAAAATGCAAAAGATCTCGTAATTGCGATCAAGAATACTGAAATAACTATTCCACTGTAAACGTAAATGTAAACTTCCTGTGACCATGGCTGAACTTTAAAAAGTCCCTCATCCGTTTGATTTCGTGTTATATTTGCAGCTGCTAATAATCTTGATTCTTCCGCAGTAATTCTAGGAATTTAAATTTCAGATTTGGTAAATTGTTATCATCATAGTTAAATTCAGTATATATTTATTATAAAAATATATCCAATGTGTATCATTTATGCAGACTTACAGAAAAGGGACATAAAGGTCATTTAGACTGGCTGCGAATTGAGTCAGAATAAATAGAATAAGCACGAGAAAAGCAAAAAATAAATTAGCTCCAGTTCGAAAATAATTTAGGAAAATTGATCCCTTTATAGTTCCTCTTGAAGTTCCTTCTATTAATCCATCAATATTTGCATGATTTTGTTCTTCTTCAACATCTATTTCAGCACCAGGTTCTGACGATTTACTCTAAAGAAAAGTGTCAAAAATTTATAAATCTTATTTAGAAGTTAAGGGGACTTTCTGGTTTAGAATTGACAAAAAAGGAAGGTTGTAAAACTTTTATTGTAAGAACAGTATTAAAGAAATTGTAAAAACTATTTTTGGACATTGTAGCACATTGCGTAGAGAAAATTTAAAAAATATGTTTGACTGTATTTAGTTCAATTTTATAGCTGTAGGTGGCGTCTTCCAAAAGATACCTTTTTTTTGGTACGTTAGTTTCCGGGCAACCTGTAATACATAAATTCAAGTTCCAAACGGGAATCTCTTCATAAGGATTTATTCTGGGGCCTAAACCTCAAAAACGATTTTTTTTAAAGGTTTTTTTATTTTTTATGTACATTTTTCTCAAAAACTCGCAAAAACGCCGTGTTTTTGGGTCAATTTACCTCCATATAAAAACACAGGGGGTAGAAATATGAGTTTTTAGAGGTTTAGGCCCCAGTTTTTTAAATAAAGAATCGAAAAATTTTTGGGATTTCAAAATCGGTTCGGTAGATTTCGAGAAAAGCTCTGTACCAGTTTGAAAAATGAGTTTTCGAGAAAAACGCGTTCAAAGTTTTCATAACATAGTTCATTGAGTCATGAATATCAAACAACTTTTTATTACAACAGAACTTCGTATCCCGCTGTTTTTAGGGTCGCTGATTGCGAATTTGATGTCCGTTTTGGAAAATTCAAAATGGCGGATCCAATATGGCGGACGAAAAAATAAAAATTCAACCGAATTTGCTTAAAACTTGCTACTCGGGGGTTTTTGGGGTCGCTGATTACGAATTTGATGTCCGTTTTTGAAAATTCAAAATGGCGGATCCAATATGGCGGACGAAAAAATAAAAAATCAACCGAATTTGCTTAAAACTTGTTACTCGGGGGTTTTTGGGGTCGCTGATTACGAATTTGATGTCAGTTTTTGAAAATACAAAATGGCGGATCCAATATGGCGGACTACAAAATAAAAAATTAACTTTTTTAATTAATTAAAACGTTCCTAGAACGTTAATGTTTTGTGCCTATATTCATAACTAGCAATCTCAAAAGGCCACAAGTAACCATTTTCAACTAAATTTAATTAATTTCTTAATCTTTGTCCGCCATATTGGATCCGCCATTTTGTATTTTCAAAAACTGACATCAAATTCGTAATCAGCGACCCCAAAAACCCCCGAGTAACAAGTTTTAAGCAAATCCGGTTGAATTTTTATTTTTTCGTCCGCCATTTTGTATTTTCAAAAACTGACATCAAATTCGTAATCAGCGACCCCAAAAACCCTCGAGTAACATGTTTCAAGCTAATATCAATAAAAGAGGAACACCAAATATGTAAATAAGATAACTGTAGATTGTTGTTGAAATACATACCGTCATAAATATTGTTATAACTTTTGTTTTTGTACATATTTTTTAAAAAACGTTTTGGGACAGTAATTCTATGATACTATGGAACATTTTTAAGCAAAAAAAAAAAAATCGATTTTTTTGAAATTCTAAACCAGAAAGTCCCCTTAATAATAATAACTTATATAAAGAGGGTAATATTTATTAGTTAAATAAATTTGCATCTACCGGTTTATTAGTATTCGCACATTTCTAGAAATCTTTCAATGTGGGGTACTAGTTGTTCAATTTTAGACCAATTAATTAACTGAAAATTAGAAAATATTGATAATTTTATGTAACGAACTTACTCTGTTACTTATAGTAGAAATTTGTCTTCGCATTGCATTCTTTTCTTTGAATGAATCTTCCTTATTATTAGGATTACTTTCCGCCGCAATAAGAGGCATATATTCAGGATGACTTTGCAGAAGTTGCTGATAATTTTTATAAAATTGCATCTTTCCTTGATCGAGAAGAATAATTGCATCGACTCCTTTAATATACTGAAGCTGATGTGTTGCGAGAATTCGAGTTTTACCGGACAAATAGTGTTTCATACACTCTTCAAATAAATGCTTCCCCACGTGAGCGTCCACCTAATTAACATTCCAAAATTATTTCCAAATTTCGTTTTTATTTCTAAAACGTGAAAATACATTTGAACGTAACTATTATTTTCTAATAGTGGAAGAAATGGTAAGGAATGAGAATTACCGCACTGAGAGGATCGTCGAAGAGGTAAATGTCGGCCTGCCTATAGACAGCCCTCGCCAAGTTGATTCTGGCCTTTTGCCCTCCCGACAAGGAACTTCCCCTGTCGCCAACAACGGTCTGGTCTCCTTGAGGAAACTGTTTGAAGTCTCTGAGGAGAGCGCACGCTTTGACGACTCTCTGGTACCTTTGTCTGTCGTAGGCTTGGCCGAAGAGAATATTCTGTCTGACGGATGATCCGAAAACCCAGGATTCCTGACCTGCATAACTCAAACCGCCCTTGACTCTAATACTTCCCTCTGTAAGTGCAATTTCTTTTAAAATTGCAGACAGCAATGAACTCTTGCCAGCTCCAACCATTCCAATTACCATGTACAATTTTCCAGCCTCAATTTCCAGATTAATCTTTTCTAAGGTGTTCTCCGATTGACCAGGCTCCCATTTTGCTGTCACATTATCCAGTTTGACTCCCCATGTCTCTGGAGATTCATCTATCACGTCTGTTTTCAATAAACAATAAAATATTTAAGTCAATTACCGTCTTTAAAATTTAAAAAAAATATTACCTTCAACAGAATTCTTATTGTTTTTAAGAGGATCGTTGGTATTATAAGACTGATATAAGCTAGGATTCATTTCTTGGAATTCTTCGTACATCATGAAGTTTTGCAATCTTTGAATAGCCACCAAACATTCTGCAATTTCGGCGACTCCTCGCACAAACAGACCAGACATTGTCTGAGCAAGAACTGCAAAATATGATGAGAAAACAAAAACCTTGTCCGCTGTTAATGGTTCTTTATATAAAAGCATTGTCAGTAAAGTCGAAAATAAAGCCATTCTAGTTGTGAAAACATTGAAAGTCATGTATATTCCTCTGATGTAGGAGCTTTTTGTAACTATCTTGAGCTCCAGTTTGCGTGCATTTTCCACTAAAGCGCAGAATGGCTTCTCCCAAGCGTACATTTTAATGACTTGAACTCCGGCAATTATTTCGTCCATGAGTCGCACTCTCTCGTCCGTTTTGATTGCAGTCTGGAGTCTATAAATCGATGCTAGCTTACCAGTGTATGCTAAAATAAATATGAAACATCAGCTGGAATAGCAGGTGTACAGCGCTTCTAATGAAGCTTATGAAAAATGAGGACATTTTTGTTTTTATACTATTTAATAATCGTTGCTTTCATAGCTATAGTAATCGATGCCATAAACTTATTTAGTTACTTCGAAAAAAAAATCAAACATGGTATTTTCTTGGAATTTTTATGGATTTTCAATGAAAATTCCGAGGGGCACCCATGTAGAAAACTACATGGCTTTATGTTTAGGTTTAAATTTAAAGAATTATAGAAAGTAGAACTTATTGGATATAATTGTTAATAATTACATTGTATTGGCACGACAACAAAAACAACAGCAATTCCAATAAGCCCAGCATATCCAGCTTGAATGTATAAAAAATATCCAATAATTAAAGCTGAAAGAGGTGCTGACCACATATAATGGATCACAATCGAAAGGAGATCAAATCTGCTGACATCGTTTGCGACTAAATTCACTATTTTCCCTGGAGCCGTTTCTCCCAAGGCAGTCTTACTAAGTTTCAAGGCCTGGAAAATAATTAATTGAATAAGTTTGTCTATCATTTGAATTATGTTTATAATTAATTATTATGTTATTTTAAGTTAGCTACCTTTCTATAAACAAGTGAGCAAACAGCAACTCGTACCCTGCCGCCAATATGGAAAGCACCATATAAAGATTGATTTAAGGTAATCACATTTATAGCAGATGCAAGACTAATTCCTCCAGCAAACATAAGTGCCGTTTGGTAAGAAACATCTGAATTTGGTTTGAAATATTGTAGCAAACCACCTAACAAGAGAGGTGTTCCTAATCTGTAATTTAACAAAAAAATAATACAATAATTATGTTTTAATTAATTAAAAACTTGCACCGTTTATAATAAATATATATGTGACCTGGACAGTTAAAAGGGACCTTTTGTCCGAAAAAATCGATTTTTTATTGATTGGTGATTCTGATAGAGAAAACTTTTTTCTATCAGAATCACCAATCAATAAAAAATTAATTTTTTCGGACAAAAGGTCCTTTTTAACTGTCCAGGTCACATATATTTATTGTTAACGATTGGTGTTAGTCATTTTTACTGTTTCTTTAAGGGGGGAACACCAGTTGTAACTCAAAAAATAATGCTTTTTTCAAGAATATTTTCCAAAAGAACAATGAATCTTTTTAAAGAATACTATTTATTAGTTAAAAGTACATGTAAAAAGCTGTAATTTAAAAGAAAAAAAAATTTTTTTTAACAAAAACTTTTGGAGATATGAGCCATTGAAGTGGCGTCTTAAGAAAAAAGGCGAATTGCGGTGACCAGCATTCTGCAAGTATACTTCGTCTGAAATACAAAAATGAAATTGATTTACATTTATTATAAGATTATCTAGTTCGTGATCGAAGGATTTAAAAAAAAAAAAAAATTTGACAAAATGGCGACCTGTCAAAGTCAAAAGTATGATTTTCGTTAAAAAAATACGGTCGATTTTCAGCTATATAAAAAAAAGTTTTGCATAAAAAAAAATCCTTCGATCACGAACTAGACTTATATGTGTAAATGAAGCACACTAAATTTTAAATAAATCGGTTTAATGGTATTCGAGTAATCGTGGTCACCGACTTGGAAAATGTCATTTTGAGAAAAACGCATTCAAAGTTTCAACTTACTTTTTTTTGTTCAGAAGAAATTTTGTTTCCAAGTAACAAAGAGTCATCGATTCCTGGACCATATAATAACTCTTCCGCAGTGGTTGCCGTTTCTAAATCATAGGAAAAGGCCATCTGTCGTTAGGGTCAGTTATGGCTGGCCACCTTGTATGAAGCCACGGGACGCGCCGATGCAGTGTTCTGTATATCTCATTTATTTTTCACTGGATCAACTTTGAAATTTACAGACACATTTCTAAATATGTATACTTTAAGAAAATGCACAAAAAAAAAATTGATTTTTCGAAAGTTACAACTGGTGTTCCCCCCTTAATTAATATTTGTAAAATAACATTTTATCATCAGTCGGTAATACAGAATTTCTCAATGGTACGTAACAGCACTTATTCATCATATTTTAGACTTCTTTTCAGATTAATTCACTCGTAATTTTACAAAAAAAATGTGTAAGACAGATTAATAATATTGTGAAAATGACATAATTAAACAGTATTATAAAAAAATGTCCAAAAATCAAAACTGTTTGCAAAAACGATGTATGAATAGAAAAAAATTTTGCACTTTAAAGTTATTCTCTTTTATACTTGATTATGATGTATATAATATTCACAAACCTTATGACAAATTCATTAAATATTTGAAGTATACCAAGAAGAGAATATTCCCACAAAAAAGTTCGAAAAATTGTTTTCAATAAACTTACTTTCTTCTTATGTTTTCTCGCATTTTCTACTTCTATTTTCCATTGACTGAAAAAAAAATATTTTCTATAAAAAACAATACTTCGGAATTTATAATATAAATAATAACAAATATTAACTTTTCTAGTCTGTCCCCAAGAAGAGATGATTTATCTGTTTTTAATGGATCGAATAAATCTTCGGTTCCTAATACTTTTGTATATCCTTTCTTGAAAAGATGTACTGTCCACCTAAAATATAATTGATGAATTATTAAAATAAAAATTAATTTTTAAGTATTCTTAAAACAAAACATTTAATTTTAAATTTAAATTATATTGATAAACATTTTTGACTTTTGTTATAGTTTTTATTTGAATTATCTGAAACAAATTATAATTGCAGTTGCTTTTACTCATTTTATCTCAAATTATTGATTGCAAGATAATTTTCTTTATTTTCGTTTAAGCTTATAACAAATACAGAAATAAATTAGTTTAATATGATATAAACTTAATTTAGCACATTCGATGAATATTAAAATTTCTTGAAATTTTTTTATATCCCGTGAATATAAACGTATAACGTTAATTAAATTACCTATATTATGCATACATACCACCATAATAAAACTGATATACAAGACGCTTTTTCTCTAGGATTTGGATTTTCAGTAGTTTTTCTTGCATCCATTTTATTTGAAATTGTTCATTAGTTCGATGCACTTTTTACGCACTAATATTGACCGTTATTTTATATGTAGTTAGAAATAAAAAATGATTTAAAATAACGTGTAAATTGATTTAAAAATAGATATTAATTCTTTGTAGTTTTTGTTTATAAAACTAGTTTTTCAGAGTAACTGAAACAGAATAAAAGTAAGATAAAATTACATATATATATATATAATTGGCTATAATTGTATTACTAGTAACTGACGTACAAAACAATTAATCATCTCTTTATTTATTTATCTGATAAAATTTGCAATTAATGCCTGCGAAATAGTGATAGGAACTACATAAGTATATATTCGTAATACAGTTTATCTTTTTCTTCTATTATACTATTTTACGTTGAAATATATCAAGAAAACTCTAAAGTATAAAAAAATTTTTTTAAACAATTACATAAAAGAAAATTCCATAGTGTATAGATTTATAATTTTCTAATAGAATATCAATATAATAATAATAATAAAAATTAAAATTAAAAATAAGCATAAAAATAAAAATAAAATTAAAAATAAAAATAAAATTAAAAATAAAAATAAAAATAATAATAATAAAATAATAATAATAATAATAAAAATGTATCAATATTCAATCAATATCAATTTGCGCACTAAATAAATAGCATGAAACTGTTAGGTCACGTGATCAAGAAAACTTTAATTTTGCAACCACTCTTTTCGTAAGGCTGCTTATACAATAACTAAATCACAGCGTCTCTCTTAGACGATTTTTTAGAAAGAGACGATGCGCGCGTATCCATTGCCAACTGTCGACATAAATTTATTTCACATGTTCCACTATTCGACTACAATTAAGCTTGTTAATATTATTTATATTTATAAAAAATTTTACCTGTGAGGATATAAAATCTTTATTTTTTTAAAAAATAATTTCAATGAAATTGTAGGAATAGTGTAACACGTGAAATAATTTTTTTCCCACAGTTGGCAATGGATGCGCGCTCATCGTCCCGTTCTAAAAAATCGTCTAAAAGACGATGCGATTTACCTATTGTGGAAGCAACCGGAAGGTTATTATATATATATATATACATATATATATGTGTGTGTGTGTGTGTGTGTGTGTGACGTTCCACGAGAGAAGAAACATTATGTCAAAATAATTTTAGGTTATGTTTAATGATAATTTTACCTTGATATAAAAGTTTCTTCTTAATTATTGTAGGTATAATCAAAATTAGTTTTTTATTAAATTTTTTTGAATGTATACTGAAGACTTAAGGTTTTTTATTAAGAGTTGATTCTTTGTGAGTATTTTCACTTCAAAAATTACAAACATAACCTAAAAATTTTTCTTGAGATAAGGTCTTTTCTTTCGTGGAGCGTCACATATTGGGTGTACAGGTAAAATTTTTTCCCACAAGTGTTAGACAAATTAACATCATAGTGTCGATCATGTGACCTAATAGTCACATTTTGTTATGTTGAATAGTCTGCGATTGTTATTGATCGAGTGAGGAACTTTTTGCATTATGAGCATTGAGTATTAAAGAAAAATGAAAATATTATATTTATTGTTAAATATTCTTGCATATTACGAAAAAAAATTAAAAATAAATCAAATTTAGTGAATATTGTAAACAAAAATTAAAAAATTTTCCAACCGCTATCATCAGGAAGTATAATAAATTCCATTCATAACTCCCTTGCCAATATTATACAACAAACTCTAAATATAAATCGTGTGATATACAGTGCAAAGCATTTATATAAAGACGATTTCAGAAAAATTTATTTTTTTTACATAATGAAAGTATGCAAACTATATTGACCTTGGTAATTGTAACTATACATGTGACACGTGTAAATTTGTATGAAATTTAAAAAATTATCTTTTATTTAAAAAAAAAACAAAAGTGTTATCATATTTGTTTTTGCTATAAATAATCAATAATTTCTATTTGTATACTCACAATTGCTATAGAATTTTGATAAAGCACTTCATTAACTTTACGAGGACTTGTATTTTACTACTTTTATTTTTTAACATATTATTTTATTCTTAATTTAGACATTATAAATAAGGATTATAGTGATGGAAGTAAAGTGTAAGCTACTGTAAATTTATTAAAGTACTGAGAATGAAAATGAAAATACTCTTGTATGAAAACGAATAGCGGTATCTCTTCCCCTTCCATTTGTTTAAATATAATCAAAGCTACGTTAATTCAAAAATATATATGTCTTAAGCTAACAAATTATTTCCATGAAAGAAATAATTGTCAGGTAAATTGGTTCGTAAAAGATTAATAATTTTTTATAAAAAAATTTCAAAAAAAAATTTTCGTTAACATTTTTATTAAAAAGTATAAGAAAAATTTCTCTGGGATAGAAAAATTTCAAAATTTAAATAAGTTTTTCTTTTTGAATAACTCAAAAACTACAAAAACTTTTAAAAACTGTTCAGGACTTTTTTTCTAAAAATTTTATTTTCTATTCATTTCTGAAATATGTTCGCGCTCGCCCGGGACACCCTGTATAGGAAAAAATCTTATGAATTCTCTATCAGTAGTAGAAGTAGGTTTGAATCAGACAGACTTTACAAAAATTTAATACTTTTGATGGCAGCTATCTTAAGTCAAAGGCTAGAAAAATTAAGATTTAAAAACTAATTAATATAAATAATAATAACAAAAATAAATAAAAAATTGTTATAAAAGTGAAAATTGAATTGCTCTTTGGAAAAAATCTTGCACAAAAAATGACAACTATTTACAAATCGTCTAATTATGTATTTTTGTATTCCTTTCTTAAATTATTAATTTTAAAATATTTTTTTCATTAAATAGTAATTATAAACATTACTAAATCGAAAGATTTTTCAATTCCACATCCCAACAAGCAAAAGTTTTCTATTGATAAGTTCATATAAATATACTAACTTTATTTGTTTATAAAATATTTCATTTTTTATATATTTACTTTAATTAATTTAAATCACGTAAATGAACTGAAACGTTATTATTTTAAATTCGTGTATTAATAGTATACATTTTATTTCATTTTAAGAGATAAGAAAAAGGATTCTTTTTAAAAAAAATTCAAAAATATTTTTGATTTTAAAAAATGGTTTATTTTTAATGTTTTAAAAAATTTTTTGCACCATTTGAAAATGCAAAAGAAATAATCTCATTTTTTCACTTTTTTATATATAATAGTTATGATTATTCAAAAAATACATTTCAAATTTGACCAAAATTTTTATCCTCTTACTTTTTAACAGTTTTTATTATAAAATTAATAATAATTTGTCGGTGAATTACTCATCAATAGTACTAAAATTGTGCAAATTGAAACCCAATCTGAGAGTAAATTTTTTTTTATTTAAATCACTTGAGAAATTTTACCCCACAGATATTTAATATAAACAAATTTATTTAAAAAAGAAAACATAAAAAATCAGGAAAAGAAGCAGGCGCAAAGCACCTACATATAGGGTTTCGTGGCTTTTTAAATTCAGATCAGAAGTTATTTGTACATAATAAATAATTTATAATTACATTATTTGCTAATTGCTATGGTTGCTATGGTAATGGTTGTCATGGAAACGGTTGCCATGGTAATGGTTGCTATGGGAACTGTTGCCATGGTAACGGTTGCTATGGTAACGGTTGCTATGGAAACTGTTGCTATGGAAACGGTTGCTATGGAAACAGTTGTCTTGGTAACGGTTGCCATGGAAACGGTTGCCATGGTAATGGTTGCTATGGGAACTGTTGCCATGGTAACGGTTGCTATGGAAACTGTTGCTATGGAAACGGTTGCTATGGAAACAGTTGTCTTGGTAACGGTTGCCATGGAAACGGTTGCCATGGTAATGGTTGCTATGGGAACTGTTGCCATGGTAACGGTTGCTATGGAAACGGTTGCTATGGAAACAGTGGCCATGGTAATGGTTGCTATGGAAACGGTTGCTATGGAAACAGTTGTCTTGGTAACGGTTGCCATGGAAACGGTTGCCATGGTAATGGTTGCTATGGGAACTGTTGCCATGGTAACGGTTGCTATGGAAACGGTTGCCCTGGAAACAGTTGTCTTGGTAACGGTTGCCATGGAAACCATACGAGTGTACTACGGACAGACGGACGCCAAAGCGAAACTATAAGGCTTTCGGCCCTGGGCCACGAAACCCTAAAAATGGCTCTCTGAAAAAAATATTCATACATTTGAATCATATAGACAAATATTTTTATCTATTTTCCACAGAACTGTAATTTAATCCTTTCTTAAAAAAGACAGTGCATACAAAGCACATGAAAATGTATCGAAATATCTCGATGATCGAAAAAATCGAATGTAAGAAAAAATGAACTTTGCTTTCCACAGCATCTAAATCAATATTCATTTTATGAAAATCACCTTAAATTATTGTTCCACATATATATTTTGCATAACTTATTTAAATGCAATAAATATACACTTGCAAAGCATTTATTTGTTGTAAATGTTTGCAGTTGTCATGAATCAGAACCGAACATAACCTATATTTAGTTGAAATCACCTGATTGGCCCACGACAAAATACCGCGCGCTTTTTTAAAATAATGAAATTTATTAAATTATGTATAATAAAATAATTGAAATAAATTAAATTATTATGAAAATAATATTACCTTGAAATAAAAAAGTGTTTTTAGTTTTAAAAAAAATTATTCAACAATTATTATCATTTTCAGACTACAAATATAATAGATTATTATTTTTCTGTTTGAAACTTTCTCTATAATTACATGCCTTTTTGCATTTTGTTAACAATATTATTAAATATTTAATAAAATAATTGTACTAAATTATGAAATATAAATTAAAAATTAAATTGAATGGACAAAGAATAGAAGCAACGGAGACGGCCAAAGGCCGTCGGAGGCGCTAGTAAATTAACACATTTTAAAATGACACAGAAAAAATAATCTTTCATGAAAAACAAATTATTTTTATTATTACTAACTAATTAACAAGTACAATTAAACGGCAGTAGTACTAAATAAAATCTGACGGTTTGTCCTCGCGTTTTGCTAAGTATACTCGTTCAGCAACTTTTGACAATTGCTCAAACATAGCTTGTCCTGTTTCTCTAACTAAGGAAGTAAATTCACCATTTTGGTTTTGAAGAAGAATGTGTGGATAGTCGAATTCCTGAAACAGTTATTTTTATTTTAAACCGAATTCATTTCAAATCAGGTAAACTAAAAATAGTCGGAGCTGAAAATAAATTTTTTCCCCGGAATATTGTTTTTTGGCCAAACAAAAAAATAAGTTTTGTCTAAAAAGCTTTGAAAAACAACATTTGGGAGAAAAAACTGATTATAAAGTCCGACCATATGCTTAATCTAGGTGATTTGAAATTAATTCAGTCTTTACATAAATAAATAAGCTAATAAAACCTTTTAATTAATCTACGTAATTAATAGGACAATGTAAAATTTTTTGAGATTTAAAAATTTTTAATTAATCTTACCACCATTTTTCCTTTGTCCATAACTAAAACTTTGTCACTGTCCATAATTGTATTCAATCGATGAGCAACAGTGAGAACAGTGCAAGCAGCGAATTTAGTTCTTATAGTTCTTTGAATCAGAGCATCCGTTTGTGGATCCACATTTGCTGTGGCTTCGTCCAACATTAGAATCCGATTGTTCCTCAAAATCGCTCTCGCGAGGCAAATCAACTGGCGTTGTCCAACACTGAAATTACTTCCTCTGTCGGACACTCGACTGTCCAATCCATTGACGGCTGCAATCGCTTCTTTCAGTTCCACCTGTTTGGCATTTATGAAAATTATTTACATTTCCCACCAGAAAATTAATTTACAAATTAAAATTTCAAAGTCCAATCCTCTATTTAGAACTGTCGATTTAAAAATAAGGAAATCACCTCTTCGAGAACCTCCCACAGTAGTCTGTCGGGAAATTCGTTAAAGGGATCCAGATTTCTTCTGATTGTTCCAGAGAATAGAACAGGATCCTGTGGAATGATGGAAATTTGACGTCGAAGATCTTCCAGACAGACGGTTCCCGTGTCTATATTGTCGATTTCAATGACTCCATCGATTTTGGCGAGACGAAAGAGAGCCGCGATTAAAGACGATTTTCCAGCACCGGTTCTCCCAACCACTCCTACCTAAAGAACAGTTTTTTCAATTACAAATTTTGTTAGAATTGAATATTTTCTATTTGCTTAAAACAGGATCACACTGAGAATATTTTAATTACAATAATAACAACGCTCTGAAATAGGAAGCAGTATAAATTTTTACAAAACTTTATTAGAATATTTTCACGAAGATTTCCGATCTGTTTCGATCGCAGCCGAAGACTGGTAAATGTTAGGCAAACACCCTGGCTTCATCACCGCCTTTAAAGTGTTTTGTTAAAGACAATTCAATAATTATTGGTATTTAATAAATTTCAAGTCTGTATCTTCATCTTTATATTATCATTTAGAGATAATATAATTCTGAGTTTGATATAGTTGTTTACCTTCTCAGTTGGATAAATGACGATATTGAGGTCCTTCAAAACAGGAGGATCGTCATTAGAATATCTCAAGTACATATTCCGGAATCTAATGGAACCCTGAGTTGGCCAATTTTTCGGAGGTGTAACAAAAGACTCAATCCTTCTTTGCTTCTTCTTAAACATTACTCCCTTGTCCCGTAAATTAGGTTCTGGTGGAAGTTCAGCATATTCTAAAACTCTTTCTACCGACATTAATTGATTTTCCACTTCTGCACTCTGACGCATTCCCCATTGCATCAATCTCGTCATCGACATAACTTGTGTAATAGCCAAACCCACTTTTCCTCCATTTTCTGAAGAGGCTAAAATAAAAACCATCTTGTAGAAATGATTTTTAACATACCTATCATTAAAATCTTTTATTGCCACTGTAAACTTGATGGTATCATTTTGGAATGCAACGTTTTGATTCGATATAAGGTATCAAATTGATCCAAATATTTGGATTATTTTCAAGAAATGATCCAGAATATGGGATCATTTTTTGATACCTGAATTGGTATCAAAGTATAACTGTCATGGCTGGCATGCTCTTATTGACAAGTTTATTAATTAATTTATTCACTGCACTGAATATTCAGATATTAAAAATACTTTTATTATGGATTTTAAGAAAGAGAGAAGCGAAAACATATAAATTTCGAGCAATTAAATAAGAAAAAATTTATTTCGAAATGAAATGAAATACACTAACCTTTATTTAAGTTTATCACATAAGATTTAAGTTAAGTTCACAATCACAAGACTTGAAAATTTTTAATTATTTTTGTGGTTTAAATAATTATCAATAATTTATTTATTATAAATGAACAAAATTTAAGCAATACACGCTTGATAAATATTTCTAATGCGTTGTCAATTAATGCAATTAATAATTTCCTATTACACAATATCATAATCGACATATATGACATTTGTAAACAAACAGGGTTGGGAAACAAGAGCCCAAAATATATTCGTCCAAAGCGAATTTCAATCCTACCCAACTCTGCTTTGGACGAACATATTTTGGGCTCTTGTTTCCCAACCCTGTTTGTTTACAAATGTCATATATGTCGATTATGATATTGTGTAATAGGAAATTATTAATTGCATTAATTGACAACGCATTAGAAATATTTATCAAGCGTGCATTGCTTAAATTTTGTTCATTTATAATAAATAAATTATTGATAATTATTTGAACCACAAAAATAATTAAAAATTTTCAAGTCTTGTGATTGTGAACTTAACTTAAATCTTATGTGATAAACTTAAATAAAGGTTAGTGTATTTCATTTTATTTCGAAATAAATTTTTTCTTATTTAACCCTCTCCCTGTCCTGGGTTATCCCCACTCTAACGCTATAGAATGTATTTCCCATAGTCCCCACCAGGCGACCGAATTGTCGCTTTTTGTCGATAACGGTCAACTGGCCAGGCAGAGGGTTAATTGCTCGCAATTTATAAGTTTTCGCTTCTCTCTTTCTTAAAATTCATAATAAAAGTATTTTTAATATCTGAATATTCAGTACAGTGAATAAATTAATTAATAAACTTATCAATAAGAGCATGCCAGCCATGACAGTTATACTTTGATACCAATTCAGGTATCAAAAAATGATCCCATATTCTGGATCATTTCTTGAAAATGATTCAAATATTTGGATCAATTTGATACCTTATATCGAATCAAAACGTTGCATGAGTTGATCTTAATTCTTGTATCAATTTGATACCCACAAGAAAACTGTGTGATCTTTTGGTTTAAGGGTATGTGGGAACGTCTCACGTGACCTAATGTGGGAAAATGTGTTTTGATAGTATACATTTCACTCTAAAATGAGAAAAGATTTTTGTCTAAAATTTTGAGGAATGATAAATTAGGGTACAAGAAATCTCGTTGTTCTCCGAAAAATACTTAATTTTGCGTTGAATTACTAAAAAATGAAGTTTAAAAAGTGTGATTTTTAAACGAAAATGAAAAAAAACATGGCGGCGCATACACAGATGACAGACGTTGCTTGAGTGTGTCAGTGCTCCAGTAAACAGCGCCAATTCGAGCGAGTGGCCGCTGAATGAACTATGATGTAATACATTATTTTACTATTTATTGCTTTATTTTTATTATTTTTTTCGTTAAGTTATGGTAAATGAGTAGAACAGCGAGATTCCTTGTACCAAACAAAATCATTTCTCCAAAATTTTTACCCGAAATCATTTTTTATTTCAGAGAAAGTTTCAAACCACAAAAAAACGTCATTTGCCCACATACCCTTAAATTGCTGACTGCTTTAGAACTAAGAACTACCCTATTGAAAAATCTCACATGAGATTACATATGTGAAGTCACAAGCGAAGTCACATGGAAACTGAAATGTGAACTCTCATGAGAACTTACACAAGAACTCAAATTGGAACTAACATAGGAACTCACATAGGAACGCACTTAGTGTTTTGACCCCGGTACACATGTAGGTTCCCATGTGAGTTCTCATGTGGGTCCTCATGCAAGTTCTCTTGTAAGTTCACAGTGAGTTTCCATGCTTGACAGTTTTTTAAAATAAAAATAATTTCAAGTTATAATAAATAACATAATTTATTGAAATAAAAATAAGGTCGTAAGTCAAATCATAGTAATAATTATGGCAAAAATAAATATTTTTTTATTAAAATTAAAACTGTTTACATTTTTTTAAAATTTGAGATTCTTTCTGCAATCTCGAATCTTTTGAGATAGAAAATGGCCAATTAGTTTCATTCGAGCTTCTCTGGGAGCACCCGTGCATTTCGATTCTGTGAGTTTTTTGTATAACAAATCTGTAAAAAGAATCAATAGATTAATTAGATAATGATCTCAGTTTATAAGCAAGCTTTCTACAATTAGCAAATTACAAGCTTGCTACTTATAATTAAAATAAAATTTTAAACATAATTTTTTTTTCAATTTCATAACTTTACCTTCTAATAATTTATATTTTTCGGGTGAAAGTTCCTTTCGCTCAGCAGAATCTCTTCCTTCTTTTATTTTTTTTTTATCTAAACACCTTAATTTTAATACTTCAGGACCCCAAAAAATTGAACTCAGATCTTTGATGAATTTGGAGTCTTGCTCTCTTTTTAAACGTTCCCAAATATCACGGTGAACGTAGTATTCTAATCCCAGATGTACCTATAAAATGTTTATAAATAAGAAAAGAACTAAGAAAGAAAGGGAAAAAGTATATTGAAAGAAAAATTTTTGCAACTTTTGTTTCCTTGAAATGAAAACCATATAAAAAGTAGATTAAAATTTAAGTCATATAAGTTATGATGCCAACCATGAAAGGTTGTTATAAGAGTTTTCTCCTTACCTTATCATTTTCTGTTTCTATGAAACGCTTATAACTCTCCATGGCAGTTGTCCTAATATTTTTCCCCCTGTTGTTATTGACCGTTTCTAGAACTTGAAATTAAAATGAAAAGTTGGATGGATTTCAACACACAAAAAGTAGCGTTATTAGAATTAAATTATAAAAAAAAGTATCAAAACAGATTGTATATTCATTAAGGGGTTACACCACACTAAACGTAAATCATTTTTACGGTTTTAAATAAAAATTTTTTTTGATGAAACTATTAAAGATACAATTTCTTGTAATGGGGGGTATGATAGTTCAAAATATATTTTACCGATTGACTCGAAAATTGAAATACAACTTCTATATATATTCTCCAAAGAGTGACGTAGGATTTTAATATTTTTAAAAATTACATTTTTTTATGATTTATCAAATTTTTCATACACTTAGAAAAAAATACTATTGAATTTATAGCACGTATACTCATATACGTTCAAAAGCAAATGTAGTTAACTTTATGCGACACGTAGTTAAATTTATAGAATTGCATTTGAATCTAAAACTGTCTTCTTTGATTCAATAGCAATGCAATAAAATGAAATATATGTCGAATTATGTTTATGACATCCGCTTTTCAACGTATGTGAATATGCATGCTATACATTTAATAGCATTTTTTTCTCTGGGTACGATTAATACCAACAACAAAGGAATAAAAAAAATTATAATCAGAAAACTTACCATTGAAGTCGATGTTCGCTAAAGGTCTACGTGTGGCGTTAGATTGACCGTTAGAATGATTGGAATCGTCTGTAAGAATAGTCTAAATTAATTATTTCTTACAGGCCTGGCGGACTGAGAAAACCGAATTGGTCTTGATTGGTTTTTCACAGAATTTTATATGTAATTGATAAATATTAATGTTTATGTTACTTAAATCAAAGAAGATGTTATTTTAAAAAGTGATTATTATTATTTTTTAATTTATGTCTTTATATTAAATATAATAAAATTTAGTTTATTAATTCCATTACTTTCTATTCTTTTAAAAATTTTAATAAATTAGAAATTAATATGGAAACACAATCATGACCGAACAAAGTCTCCATTCGGGATTCAAAATCTTCAATAGAAGCAAAATATAAAAATACAAATTGCAATATCTACGTACCATTGGAATCCATATTTAAATGTAATCCATTTGTTGCGTTGGGCAAATTGCCGGATTGATTTAAATATTCTGCCAAAATAATTTTACTTTATAATTTAAAAATAATTACATGCTATATAGTAATAGAAGAGCGGTATTATCCTATACAACTTTTAAGAAATGTAAACTGAGTCCTTATTTTCTTTAAAACATGATCAAAATCAATTTAAAAACATACTAATTATAAATAACTATGATTATTACAAAATAGTTTGCCTTGTTGTTTGAACTTTATAGTATTATTACGTACCATTTAAATCCATGTTTGAATTTAGTTCACGTGTTACGTTGGACAAATCATTAGAATGATTTGAATAATCTGCAAATATAATAATACTTTATATTTTTGTGTAATTGAAATTAAATGATAGTAAAAAAATAGTTTTATCTTCTTATGAAATTGTTATTTTCTCAGGCCTCGAATCGACTTTGAGTCGAAAATATTAAACAATAATCAAGTTTATGAGGCATTATTTTTGCAAAATTGTGAACACATTATTTTTCCATAAATATAATCAAAACTTTATAAAAAAAAGATTTATTTGTAAAGTTTAATTTACTTCTTTGTAGATGATTGTTGCAAAATTTATTTTAAGAATAATTTAATTTAATAATTTAAATCAATTAAAATAATTTTTAATAAAATTTTATGAAATAGTTTTTAAACATGTTAGAGAACCAAGCAGTTTTTTTGAATAATTTTAATGAAACATTTAGTAAATAATTCTTTTCTTCAACATTTTAATAATTCTAAAAAATAAAAAAATTTTTA